AATCGTTCCCTCTAACATGTAGCCCGTACATGTTGTGTTTTGTCTGGAAGGCCTTGCAATTACTTTCAAAACAAAGATGGTGGATTCTCAGTGTGTACGTTTGCATAACAATTGGGAGGACACGAGACAAAGACATTCAGTAACATGCCGCGCTCACACACTGCTAAATGGACAGCGAGTGTTTTTCTTTTAAGGGGGGATGAGAGGGCCCCATGAAAAGCCAGGGACAGACTGTGTTCTTGCTTACAAAAGCCCTGAAGGCGACGTCTTCCGGAGGTTTAAAGAGGAGACAAGGGACTCTGATGCGATGCCATCCGGAATTTGGAAACGTATGTGGACAACAAATTTCAAGCCGTCTGTAGATGTAATGGCAACTCACAAAGTGACTTCGGGGCTCCTTGAACAAGCAGACATCCTGGATCTTATTTGTGGCGTGTTGGCACAACCGCACTGCCAAAGAAGGGGGATCAGTTTGCATTGTGTGTTTGGGTGCGGGTGTGGTGTATTAAGCACGGAGTATCAGTGGGCTAAAAACAGGCCACCATGATGTTATTGCTGCCAAGTTCCCTGGCATCCTAACCAGTGCCGCCCCTCCGTCCCTCCTCCCTCCTCCCCCCTCCACACCTCCCCTCCCTCCCTCCTCACCCCCTCCCGTCCCTTCCCCATGCAAAAGAGCTTGTCCATTAGGAATGACGACAACTTCAGGAATGCCTCAACAGCCTCCAAACCATCCCATGGTTTTGGATAACCCTCCCGCTATACGTCCCACATACAGTTTGGCGGCTGTTGAACAACATTGAGAGGTGTGTGCTATACCGAGGCCAGCTCTGTCCAAAGGCAAGAGAAGACGGGCAAACTGAGAAAGAGACAGAGGTTGAGTCAGACTGCAGCTGATCAGGCCAACAGAGGAGATGCCACAATAGTTCCCATTCAACGCAGCAAGAAACAGCCACAGTTTCTGAGGCCAAATATTGTCATCAGAGAACATTAGCCAAGGGCTGAAGCGCTGCCAAGAGGCAGGCAGAGATCAAATCTGGCTTTGATGGCCAACAGTAACCCCATGCTCCCACCACACGCCCTCTCTGATGTTTTGCGTCTTGGGTACTGTACACACTGACATTTCTGTATAAATAAATCCATGTTTGTTAAGCTTTCGAGCTCAAACAGATTTAACACAGTATTGTCCACTGGAGCTGCTTTTGTATTGTTTTGTCCATCTCTGTATATTCAGCTGAGATATCGTTATTTATATTTTCTAAACATATAAAGAGAGCCAAATCTAAAAAATAAATCTCCTAGAAGTCCCTAGATGATGCCATGTTCATCACACCCCATGACACAAAAGTGCTGGACCAGATAAACAACAGTAACAATTTAGAGATTCTTAGAGCTGAAGTGCTTCAAACATTAAAGGAGGCTAGCACAAAAAGGGACTAAACAGAGTCTGCATGGTCATTACAATCGCAATGATTCACCCTCTTAGGACTGTGAAATGTATTGTGAAAATTTCATAGCAGTCTGCCCATTAGATTAAGAGATATCCTGCGTGCATGCTGACATTTTAGCCTGAGGGTGGCGGTAGCAGGACAGATCAGGGGGTCACCAAAATAATTAGGAATGATCCTTGAGGGCTGTAAATATCTATAGTGAATTTAATGGTAATCTGGCAGGAAGATGAGATATGTTGTTCAGGACCAAAATAACCTGAGAGAAAGTCCAAGAAAAACTAAAGAGGACCCACACCTGTGGTTGTACCAGTCGCTCCCATTGGACAATAGAACAGACAACAGCAGACATGTTCCTATTAAGTCTGCACAATGTTACAGTGAGTCACAGAAAGGGACTTGTTTGTTTAGCTTGCTCACTCTCATCAGTTACTCCCCTGCTGGAAACAGACCAGCCGGCTAAATGCTGTCAACCTTCAGCTCACTGTTGAGCTTAGTCCGTGAATAATACTTTGAATGTCACTATATGTAATGGCACAACAACACAAGGCAACAATAAACACATAATGAAGTCATTCAAGACCAGATTTGTTTTTGTGTTAAACAATTCATTTAAAGGTCCAGTGTGTAACATTTAAGAGGATCTATTGGCAGAAATAGAATATAATGTTCAAAGGTATGTTTTCATTGGTGTATAATCACCTGAAAATAAGAACTGTTGTGTTTTTGTTACCTTAGAATGAGAGTTTTTATCTACAGAGGGAGCGGGTCCTCTTCTAAGGAGGATGCCATGTTGAACCGCCATGTTTCTACAGCCGTAGTACAAAGAAAACCTCTGTGCATAACTGTTATTATTCTAATGTCTGGGTCAGACATGTAGATGGAAAGAAAGAATATATAAATTGTGAAAGACACTAAAATGTTGATTTACAAATATATTAACTTTCCATAATGATAACAAGTGAGAGTTATATAGATAGACAGCCACAGTAGTGATAGCAATCAGCAAATGTAATATTGAAAATGAGCAGCCTGCTTTCACAGTGGGGAGACCAAATGTCAAGCGCTCAAATCCACAACCGGGGATGTCATAATGTAGGTGTGCAGTAGCTTAAAGTGCATAAAGAGAGACTGAAACTGAGAATCATATGGTGCGGTGAATCTGCCATGTCATATTTTGCCAGAGCCCATTTTTCAAGCTCTGATCCCTCAGAGGGGCTCAACACATGGATGATTACTATACTATTACTGCTGCTGCTGCGCCAGTTGTCTGGCAGGAAGACACGTCTGGCCCTGGCTGCCGCTGCCTCCCCCCCCAGCCCCTTCCATTCGTTCCAGACTGGAATGCCTATATTTAGAGTGCTCCTTTCCGCTGTTATGGCTGTTGGATCATTAGCCTCGTTTAACCCTTCTTTACCTCCAGCGAGCTGATTGGCTGAGGGCATGCCCCTCAGGAGTAACCCTCCTCCAAGTCCTGACTACACCGCCCCACCTTCCCCTCTCAAATGTTGAGGAGGAGTGTGGGGGGGGGTGCATGAGTGGTCACAAAGAAAAAGTGTAGCCACCCAAAGGGTGCTGCTACTGGGGGCCTGAGGGTCACAGCTCGAGATGAAGGACAGAACACAAGATGATGATAATGATGATGTGCGGCTATTTTGGGGATCGGTTTCTGGCTTTAGTGTGCATCAGCAGAACTCTTTCCTCTCATCTCGTTTCGTTTGACAAGCTAGGGCGGAGCTAAAGTATGTATGGCGATGTGGATGCGGTAGAGAGTGACCCCCTGACCTTTCCTCTGATGTCACTATTAGAAAAATCCAAATCTGATCAAGCACATTCTTGCTCCCCAGAGGACGGACTGTTTCCATCTCTTCTTCCAGTGCCCTAAACTCTTAATAGTACAAAATATCCAAACTACAATTGCTATAAAACTTACTGTGGATGTGCATGCTCACATGAGAATGAATCCTATCCAATCTGGAGAACCTGCGGCATTTCGTCACCCTGAAAATCCACTTGTGCTCATGGTATTGTAAAATGTAACAGGCTGACTACAAAATGTTTGCTGAGGGCAAAACCAGTCTTAGTGGAAGACTGGACCCATGACCTCTTTACAATATATTTTTACCCATACTACTTTAGCATTGTGCAGTGTACATATTTAGATATATATAGATTTTAATCATTTCAGAATAACAATATAATTTGGTTAATTTTAGATGGAGATGGGTTTGCCTTTTCGGGGGCATATATAGAGAATGTTACTTCAATGTGAGTTTTTTCTTCAGAGGCACTCTTAAGAATTACTCCTAAGGACCCATTCTCATCACCCATTTTAGAGGGCCTGCTCTCTCTCCCTGCCACCCCACGGGCCCCAGCCAACCGAACTGCCTGCACTGTCTGTATTTAAGCCCCTGTATAGAATCCACACTATGCACTATTCTTGAGATAAATGCTGTAATTTGGCAAAATATAAGAAACTAATACGCAGTACTGTTTTATACACAAAAGTACACTTTGACAGACATCAATCTTTGGATCACAACTGCTAGGTCAATATTTTAAGAATATTTTACTGTATGAATTTGAATTACATTATTTTGTCATTTTTTTTCTGACGTTAATAGCTCCTCCATATCTGTAGTGTGTTGCATTATAGGGCAATATTATCTATCCTCCTCCTATGGCAGTAACTGCGAGATAGCTCGTGACAGGACAGGGTGTAATTATTTTGAATCTGGAGTGATTGGGCAAAATGTTGGATGTAGAGTGAAAATCTGAATAGAAGGACTCACAAACACACACATACACACAGTATGAGATAAAACCAGAACACTATCGCACACCATCTTCATAATGAAGTGGTGGAAATTTGAGACAATCCTTTCCCTTGAATTAAAGAGTTCATCAGCAGCAGTGAAACTGTTCTGGGCCGTCACACATCTGCTGAAGGGGGATTTACTTCTTCCTATTTACATCTTGGCACCTAGACCGTCCTCGTCTTCCCATCTTCATAGCTGAGCACTGATAAACAACATCGGCCTGCCAAGTTTTCCCGGTTTGTTGATTACTGTTGGGTCTGTCTTGATTTAGGGCGAGTGGGACTAATCCAAGATGATGTGGTCTATCTATCTGTCAATCCATGGCTCCGGTTAGCCAGAGAGGGCTGAATGAGTCTCCACACACCACCACAACACACACCACGCCACAACACGCATGCTGATTGGTCAAAACACCAAAACAAAATATGCGTATTATTACTAGCGTGTATTCCACGAATGAGTATGTGGAGAATAAAGTGGGACTTTCTGTACAAATTCAAACAATGCAAACACATGGAGGTAGCAGAGGAGCTCATATCTTTTTGTTTATGTCTATGATGTCATAATGACATGTCTGGCTGTGTGTGTGTTCATACCGGTGTGGATCTGCCGGTGAGCCTCCAGGGATTCCTCTGTCTGGAACTGGGCACCACACTGGTCACAGACTATGGCCTTCTCACCAGCTGCACAACAAGAGACAAGAGCGTGGAGGCTTATTACACATTCACACACATTTGGAAAAGCTGTGCGAAAAATACATACATTTCATTTAGAAAGTGTCAACACTGAATTCTTTTCTAATCTTATTTTTCACTTGAATGTATCAATTACTGGAATTGTATGCACAAACGTATCATGATTTAAAGTTGATATGAAGACAGTTTGCATTCATAACACACTCAGCAGGGTACCCATATTGCAAAAGAACACAACCTTTAAAGACAAACAGTGAACAAGGAGGAGGAGTTTGGATTTGAGGACCTTTAGGCAGCTACAACAACATCAAAGGAGTGAACACAGACAACCAATAAATCAATGAGCTTATTGCCCATATATTGAAATTGGCATACATGTCGGCTGACAAGTAACAAGTGTCAGTACAGAAATGGTTTACCCACCATAGAACTGCTCAGAACATATATGTGTCACATGCAGAAGACTACCTTATCTGTAAATGGCAAATATTCATCATTTCAATTTTGCCCAATTTTTCCAGAAATGTCTTGCATATGACCACATCTTTCTCATTCCATACACAACCTGTGTGATAATACAGAAAAACGCTGTAATTTGCTATGAAATAATCCCTCACTTACACCACTTGTAACCGGCCTAAATTGAAATTGATTGACAACAAGCCCATGTTTTGCAGTCCGATACTGTATTATCTGAAGGCTTAGGCTTTCATTATTTGATCCTCTTTCATTTTTTGTTTTTGGAATTGAGATGAATATTTTGCAGGATTTGATTGATTAATGGGTGTACTGTAATATATAATTGAGCCTACATTTAGCTTTCTAACTTGATGAGTCAAACTATCCGCCTTCAGATTGGTCAGACTGAGCTCCAAATTGAATGAATATGCATATAGTGGCAGGACGTGTCGTCTCCTTCCCCATACATGCTTGATGTGCTAATAATTCACTTCTCAGAGTCCATTTTTGTGAAAGAACACACACTGTTCCCTTTCTCTACTGCTCTGCAAGTCTAGTTTCTCTAACTTCCAGATGCATATTTGAAGTGAACATAGACCCAAATTAATATATTTAGTATGTGCACAAATTGTATCAGCTTAAAATACTTGTGCAATGCTGATACATTCCTGCTTTTGACTCAAAAGCTGTAAAGTTATTGTTAAGCGCTCTTCAACTTTAGTTGCACCACACTCTGCTTCTGTTTATGCAAGTAGATCAAGTATGTAGCCCTTGAGCTATGGTCTGGATTGCCATGTTCGCCTTTACTTTATGGATGTGTACAACAATGATAATAAGAGAGACAGAAGACTGGCATGCACACATAAACAGTGCTGTTGGAGGGCACATCAGATCAGGCCCAGGCAAACGACTTTTTATGGCTTGGCAACAAGCACTGTACATGCCATACACATCACACATCAAACAGACGCACGCACGCACACACACATTTAACATCTGGATATTGTGTGTGTGCAAAACAGGCGTGCATGTGCGCGGGTGTGTGTGTGTGTGTCTGTTTCCAGTGCAAGCACAGAGCGATCTCTCCCAACCAGACCTTGGTTTGTTCTTGGCACGGCCTCCTGGGTTACGACACCTCCAGAGAGAGAAAGAGAACACAATGAAAACAGGAAGCCAATTCTTAGATGACAGAAAAAAAGTCAGGGAGAGATGGCTTGTGTGGTTTTGCAACCGCAGTGACATTAGGGAACGGCCTGTACTGTAATAAGCCCTACCAAAAGCAGAAATGACACGGACCGTACATGACAGAGTGTGCCTGCCAGTAGAGCGCTTATGCAACAAGTTATGCAAAAGACGGTATGCTGCACAAGTGAGCGTGACTAGATCATAAGCCACTGCAATGCAACCTTTAAAGCCATGCACATCCTAGATTTGTCTGTGATACCAAAAGATGTATTTTCATTTAACAACTTTATACTAAGAGACTAAGCTTGTGAGCAATGTCCTCTTTAATTGGCTGCATATTCAGGAGGCATAATTTGTAGTGTGAGCGTATGGCGTGCCAGTGTCAAATGCACAGATGAGCATATGGCCGAATTAGCTGGCAAAAGCAGCCACTTAACCTTTGGAGAACAAGACATGTAGTGGAGATGTAGACAGAATCCCCCAACACACCCACTGATGTCCCTCATTTGCATTAATCACATAGTACCTCTGCTGCTTCTTTAACTCCCTGATTCATCATTGTTGGATCAACTATAATTATTATTTTTCACATGCTACGGTTACTCTGCTAACCTGCATTGGACTCCTTGCATCATATTGATTGGAGCTCATTGATTGCCCTTGCAGGGACCAACTGGGACAGTTTTATGACCATACAAGTACAACCTCTACTTCATTATGCGCTTCCCATGGACTAATATTAGTGCTCATAGTAAATACACATTCATGATTTTACTGTGCTTTTAACCCATCTGCCACATGCACAAGTGCATACTGAACATTACTGCTGAGTATTTCCCAAAACATGTTGTAGTTTCTAAGTTTTAAAATGAGGTTTTCCTACTTTCTGGATAGATACTGGACTAAATTAAAGTAGTACAGGAGTTTTCACCTGGTTATGAAACAGTCTCAATGTAATACTGAGGCCTCTATATGGCCTACATAAGCATATCAGACCATCAGTGAGAAGATGTTTCTATATAGTTATTTTCAATGCCTGCCACTGGGTCGGATTCCCCTTTAAATACTGCATTTGTCCACAGGGGCCGCCAGAATCACCACAAAATTAAAGTTCCTTGTTGGTGCTTTAATTTCCATAATCTATAAAAATCAATTTGCCATGAACTGAAACTTCATTCTTCACAAGTAAGTTTGATGAAAAGAGAGTTTCCACTGACAATTTCCCTTCCTTCATTGCCACCACAGAGGTGGACACTTAACCCCCAGCGGCCCCAGATAGGCTCCTCAGTGGCCAACAGATCAAACTGCGATTGTACTGGGCAGCTTTCAGGTGTGAATGTGTGTAACTGTGTGAATGTGTCGCTGTGTGTTCCTGGGAAAAGAACATTTGTGCTCAGCAAATCTAATCTGGCTAAAGAAATGACACCAGTGACTGCCTAGAAGGTAAGAAAAACACATTCACGACTATGGTTTGCAGTATTGTAAAATACAGGTGATTTGTAGTAAATCAGCCTAACACTGGCATGGTTACTACAAGTAATGACTCCGCCTCACAGACAGTGGAGCAACACTATAACCAGTCTTCTGGGAGGCCAAGAGGCGTGTGCTAAATGGGCCAGGGATAGGATTTTAGTGCAGGGCATGCCCCTGCTTGTGGCACAAGGACATAAATTGTCAGGAAATGCCTGCATGGTGCCTTGCTTCAAGGAGAATGGAGTTGTGTGAGGTCACCAAGGGGCAAAGGGGGGAGGAAAAAGTGGGAGCACAGGAACCCAGGGTACACACAGCCAGGCAGCCACCCAGCCAGATGCCCGTCACTCTAGTTAGCCAGCTAAGTGCTAACAGGGGGCCCTCCGCTTGGTAACAGCCGCCATCAGCCAGTTTCACTGCCAAATTAAAGTGATAAATCTTGAGGCCCCTTTGATCACAAGAGGGTGAACTTGTTAGTTAGGAAAGACGGGGTAAGCGGGACAGAGGAGACACACACTTAACATCAGCTGTTAGTCTTTCACGTGTGTTTCCAGTGAACAAAACCCTACACGCCAACCAGAGGCCCTTTTAAAACTACACCGCAAAATCAAAATAAACCTCATCTTAAATTTCATTAAGCAAGATTTTCATTTGCACAAAACAAACATTAAATGGTGGCGTCCCCTCGCCGCTTGCCAGGAAACATTGGAATGAATGTACACTCTTGCTAATGAGAAGTAAATAAAAACGTAACCATCACAAAATGGAAAAGCCTGAAGAGGAAATAAAAAAAGGAATCTCCAAATGGTAGACTTGCCCAGTCTACTCTGTTACTGGGGGAGTCCTGTGTCACGTTGCCACAGATTCAGCCTTTAGCTGACATAATAAAAGTTGCACAACCCATGCTGAGTTACAGTGTGTGTGTGTGTGTGTGTGCGTCCGCATGTTCGAAGGTAAGGAAGGGGTGGTGATCAGGTGCCACATGCCAGTGAAGCCGCTTCCCTTTTCGCTTCCCTCTCTGAAATATTGCACAACTGTTGTTGCAGCGCAGTGTGGCTCAGTTATTTCATAAAGGGCTGTAAAAGAGAACAAGCAAGAGAAGGCACCCTGCCAATCAAGTAAACTTCCTACAAAGCTTGGGAGCAAAGAATAATATAACAGTGTCGTATATAGTGTAAACTTGATCTGTCTTTACGGGCCCTTCATTCCCCTTGTAAAGAAGTCTAGAAAGACTAGTTTAAACTGCAGCTGCACGTGTGTGCTAGGTATTAGAAGGTTCATATCCAGTTCCTTGGTTTCCTGAAAAGACTAATTGTATAATTTTACGTAAACTATTTTTAAGGTTCTGCAGTAGTGTCCTTCTTTTAAATGGGCTTAGTCTTTTGTTGTAAATTAGATCCTGCTAAATGTATGGAAACATTATTGTTATTGTTGGGATTAATAAATCAAGTCGATGTCATCTCTGCAAGAGCATGAGCATGCCGTTAACTCTCTCAGCTAGCTGTGCAGCTAGTCAACATGTGGCAGGAGTGAGCAGGTGGTCAGGCCTTGCTGTACAGAAACATAACTTTATTCACTCACCAGGCACTGGTTCTGGTGCCTGTCACCGCTCCCTGCCAGTATTCCCCCTCTGGGCCACCCCCGCTCTGGGCTAACACTCCCCCGATTCTCAAGCTCCCAGTCCAGGCAGGACCGCTATCTGCATGCACAGCTAACTGACTGAGATAACAAAGTTTCCTCTCTGCATCCAGGTCCCTCTCAAATAAGTCCTCACTTAATAATAAATACATAAAACATACCTAAAACTTTTTAATGGAATTATTTACAATGTTAAATTATTAAGAATAACATCTACAAGGTTACTTTGCAAAACC